CGAGGCCCATTCCAGTACGTCACGAACGGCTCACGACTTCATTTTTCCTAGGTAGGTCTAGCTTGGGTCTTGTTTTTGAAGCTGAATAGGTTTGCCGTAATACCAACCTTAGACGTCTAGAAATATTGGCACACTGGTGTACTAGTTGCTAGCATAGTACCACGTGTAGTACACGACAGTACATCCACGGATTTTTCTACTAATGCCTCTAATAAATATCCTGACCGATGAGTAACCATTAGTAACTGGCTAGAATTAATTTAAAATGTTTAAAGAATCTACTTTTAATTGTGCTTTTACTGACATTTAAAACGCATTTCTACTACACCCAACTAGATTTCCATCCAGATAACTAACGCGTTCCATTTCACTATTATTCCGCGCCAGGATCAACTCGATAGGGTTACGGGATTATCGGTCGGCGAACCTCGGCGCACGTGAATGTGGGAACCGATCGTTATCACAGGTAAATGGGAAAGTGCAGCTAAATGTTGGTCACATAAATGAAGGGAATCTGATTGGTTTGCAAGTTACAAGGGTATCTTTATCTTATTGTGCATACAAATTTCTTTATTTCTTCTGAATTGAGGCATCTACTTTTTCATTCTGTCACAAAAGGCACCCAACTCATTATGAGCTTTTGAATAGATATCAGAGAACGCTCTCAGTCTGCCTGTGGTCTCTGTACTGCAACTCTAAACTCTAACAACTGTCATAACTTTGCCGCTAAGTTAACAGTTATCATTTGCAACTCGAAGTCCATCATTGTCCAAAAAATAAGCTGGATCCTGAACACTGAGCTTTATATAAAGATTTATATTGCACATTCTTCTATTTCTTTTTGTTTCTTTTGTGTTTGTTTATAACAAACTGCTCAAAAATTAAGTTTGAAATTAATGAAAGCATTTTATTAGCATAAGGATTCTTGGATAGGAATTCGGGAGGTCCAAGGATATCTGCAAAAAAAGAAATAAAGGATTATGTAAGGATAGATAGGTAATAAGGATAGGACAGGAATTGAGTGTTTTATTTTTTTCAAAATTAGGTTAGATTAGGTTTAAGGAAATGTTTTTACAATAACTATAAACGGAACATTGCTAATCAAAGCAAAATATAATTTTTGCTCCAAAATTACAATTAACAGGAATTTAACTTTCAAGTGTGATACAATGATTTGTAGCTTGTTAATCCTTCAAGCTCCGTGAATCTAGACACAATAGATAATCAATTGTTACGTGGTGTCCGGCTACCACTTGGGGGCTGAGAGGTTAAGACATAGGTACCCATTCTCATTTCTACTGACCTTAATAAAATTCTTGATAGACTGCGAACCCTGCCATTTAGGATTTAGTCCTACAAAATTTATATTATACCAACTTTTAGACATTTAAATTCTGATATGAATACGTAAGTCAGAAAAAACAAAGCAGCAATTGTATGATTTAAACAGTTAATTTTACTCAAACTAATTTTACTCGAAACACTCCTTAAGACAACATGTGGCATCATAAAGTTAGCAACTTTAACAGCATGGCAATAGTCTGATAAAAGGATTTTTTATTTTATTTCCAAGTTAAACCATATTAAAACAACCAATAAATCCAATAGATTAAATTAGAAGAGATTAACAACATTACTATAACAACTGTTTAATAAAAATTATTGAGAACTCATAAACTAAGTTAACTTTAGAAAGAAAACCTTCAAACTTTGTAATAGGTAGGTACTTTGTCAACCTAGAAACAGATGACGTTACTCGTGAGGCCTAATCGATAAATCAAGGAAGGATTCAAGGTTTATTAAATTGCAGTACACTGCAGTTGCAATTTTAGCAACATATTTTTCATTTCTCAACAAGCCAGTCAGACTGAGCACTAATATCTCCAAAACCTTGACTGTAAAGTTGCGAAACTGTACAACAAAGCGTAACAAGATGTTAATTCATGATGCAAACTAAAATGTAGTTGGCAAAATACAGCCCAAAACAGTACGTACCCGGCGACAGGTGTATTCGGCAGACACGCAACTTCACAAACACTAAGACCCCAAAAACACACGAAACTTTGCACAAGTGACACAAACTTTTATTAAAAGTCCACTAATAACTCTTTATTCGTTGTTAAAACACTTTGTTTATGTAGAAATGTGTTTCTACGGAACAAGAACACGAAAATATCGTCGGACCGCCCGCGATGCAAGTTTAACAAGGACGATTTACATGTCAGGATATCTTTTACTTGACGTTACAAAACTACTCAATCCCGATTTATTTGTTTACGCAAAAATAAATGTAGCAGTACTTAATAAAAACTGGCAATTAATATCAAAATGTACTACTAACATCAAATCGTACAATAAAATGAATGTACATGATTAAAATAATTGGGTTGTGTAAATAGTCTTTTTAGTGCAACCGTTTGAGCAAGCAAAGTACAGCTACCGCCATCTAACGATCACAAAATAAGTTTCTTCTGTCAAACGCTTTGACTATAGAAAACTTACTGCGCCATCTAGTGGGTCGTGAAGAACAATGCATGCCATGATATTATGAATTTTTACTGTTTATCCAGGAAGATTTCGACCAGAATGTGGTATGATTATTAATAAAATTACAATCTTAGCAATACGTAATTTATTAATTCTACAATATTAATCTAAACAATTTTATCTGTACTGCAAGTTAACCCAGCTGCGGTTTGGGCGCGCTGAAAGTTCGTTTTCTGGACATCTTCTTTCTGCTTAGTTGTAGTTGTTGGAGTTGGTTGTGTACTTCAGCCCATATCTCGCTTTGGTCTTCCATCGGTATTGTTTTCCTAGAAAAATAAAGTACAAATTCAAGCTATAGTAAAAAATTCATCAACTTTATTTTTCACATAAATATTGAAAGGGAAATGAATCTCAATTCTTAGTATTGTATTAATGTTTTGTTAAACTTGTTAATACAATAAAGATAAAATCATTTTGAAATTCATAACACTCCCAGCATCCCACCACCCTATCTTTTCATTCATAATCATGTTATTTACACAGTACAATATTTTACCTGTACTGTTTCATCAAGTCATATTTCTCCCACGGAGTCTTCCTCAGTTCCCTACGGACTCTATCTTTCTCCTTCAAATACTCTTCAATGTTTGAGATACCCTTTAGCTCTTGTCTTTCCCATCTCTCTAACCAAGGCCTGGGCTTCAATTTCACCTGAAAAATAACATAAATAAAATAAATAGTAGCCAGATTCATAATAGATTACTATGTGGGTACACCAAGTCCTGGCCAGGAGTAATGTAATACAGCAGTAATAAAATACTATATGCAACTCAACTTTAATCAGCTGTTAGTCAAAGATATTTGTTTACTAAGATGGTAAACAAAATTTTTCTTTAATTGAGAAATCTTTTTGACTCATCACAATAATAACTGGAACATCTAAGGCCTAAATGTTTCCTAAAAGCCTAGATTCTACGTATTGCAGTTTGCATACATTTTTCGAAAGTTTAACTCTTCAATACACAATCATATTTCAATAGCCTGTCCAGTATAACGACTTTTTCTTATTTATTTTATTTCTATCAATCATCACATACCTGTACAGGATTAATTGGCACTGGTGTACCCTCAGGCAGTATTTCGGGATCCATGTCAAAAGGAAACGTGCTGTATTCTGGTAGAGCATCCCTCAAATAGAAAAGTTTTTCATCCAGCCTCTTCTCAAGTCTCAACACTTGGATCTTCTGAATAGTAGGATCATAGAGGTCATATCGCACCTAGAAGATAAACAAAGAACATAAGACATTTGGTTTGAAATAAATAAATACCTGGTAAAAGACACATTACCATTCTAGGGCAAATTTATTTATTTATATTAGGAAAACAAAAAAATTTCTTAGACAGACAAATAATCACACAAAAAATAGGACAGAAATCAGCAGTTTCCACAGTTAAAATGAATACAGAGCTGCAGAGTGCAGACTACAATTAATTAAGAAGTAATAAATTAACTAAGTAAATTTATTCTTGCTAGAATTCTCATTATTTAACTTTGTACACATGTCATGACACCATGCAGTTGTATTTTAGTTAAAATATTAATTAGTTTACCTCCACTCCCTGATGGTCGACAACATTCCGCAAAGTGAAGTCAGCGCGCAGACCACATCCTTTACGCTCAATACAGATTCCTACAAATCTGTTGGTCTTGCTCTGAGCATGAGGGTCAGATATGGTGACTGCTAGGATTGAACCTGGAAACGTGGTAATACTTATGTTAGTTAAATCACGAATTATTTTATCTCTGAGCACAGATTTGTAAGCAATTCAACAATGTAAACTTACCAACATAAAATTCAGGAATATCAATTTGACTCCTCCGTTTCAACATGTCAGCTCTCTCCAGTTTCTCACGCAAGCTATTTCTCCAATTAGGGTTAGGATCCGGAAGAAATTCAGGGTAAATGTGTCTAGATTCAAGAACTGCCTCATTTGGAATTTGCCTGCGATTGGCTGGTCGTCGGACTTCTACTTCTTGAGGAGCCTCAGCCTTTTCTGGTAGTGTGGATAATAAACGGCAATCTGGAATAAATAAAAGCGTAAATTACTGAATAAATCCGATTTATAAGACAATAATATTCTGCGATAAATACTAACCTCTCCTTATAAACCATTTTGCGGCACACAATAAATCACTGGTTCTTCTTATTGCTAACGCCATTGCGAATAAGATAATTCAGTATATCTTTTCAGTTTTCAGTTAATTTCGATTTAAATTAGCATTTTACGAAATAATTTTACAAACACGATCTCCTCACGTCACGGGAAAGTAAGTAAGTTGACACTTGTTTTTTTAAATTGCAATTTGCTTGCTTGCAAACTCTTGCAAAGAAATATTTTTTTTCATTCCCCCAAGTAAAAAATTAAAAGCATAGGTACATATTGCATGTACGTACACTGTACAGTAACCAGTTCCTTAGCTATTTTTATCTTTACAGTTTTTATAAGACATAAATGTCATTAACGTCAAAAAAGTGATATCGATTTTGTTTACGGTACATTTTACAGTTTCTCTCAATTTTATATAAAAATCTGCAACTGAGAATGTCGTCGATAATGCAGAAGTGTGGTGATGATAATATTCCACTGGCCGATGATGATCCACAAGTGATTATTACTGATGACGTCGAAAACAATCGATTAGATCATGGTCGTTCCATGGACTCATTACCCAGTTCCTATACAGGAGGATCTTCTAGCCCTGGCCTGAATGGTCCTCCGAGCTTCGAGCCTGATTCGGGCATCGATGAGCAAGAGGAGAAGGCCCGATTGATATCACAAGTGTTGGAGCTTCAGAACACTTTGGACGGTAAGTTGCATTTACTCTACCTAGATCTCAATTTTAACATTCTTTGTTTTGTTATTAGACTTCCGACAGTAATTGTAACGATGATTCATACATATAGTTACTACTTCATACTTGCAAATCATTTTAAAAACAGTTTGTTTCTATTTTCAGATCTGTCTCAAAGAGTGGACTCTGTCAAAGAAGAAAACCTGAAATTACGTTCGGAAAACCAAGTTCTTGGACAGTATATAGAAAATTTAATGTCTGCCTCTTCAGTATTCCAATCTACAACTCCTAATGTGCATAAGAAATAGAATTAATTACTGTTCATTATGTAAAGCAAGCAAGATGTAATTGGTGTTCGACATTGCAGATGCTATGAAACTTTGAAAGAGGCTTAGCTTTAATATTCCCATGTTATTTTGTACAAGAATTTTTTAAACTTATTGTTACAGCATTTAATCCTGGACCAATTTCAATCATTTGAGTACTGCAATCAATGAATGTGTTTCAATACTTTCACAGCTGTTTGTTCATGGGATAATATTATGTTGATATCAATTTATGCATTAATTACATGGTACTCTTTGTATTTGTAAGGTTAATTAATATAATTCATATCAAAAGAAACATTGTACATGGGTTGTTTCATGATTTTACTTTGCACATTGCAATTTAATAAGGTGTGCACACTCTTGAGGCTTTCTTTTTTTATTGGTCCACTTTGGCCAGTGCCCTGAATGCATATTGTGAGTATTTTAGAATATAATTATCACTCATGTAAGCTGTGGATCAAATTAGAGATTTAAACTGCATATTTTGATGTTTTGTTGAGTTACTGAGGCCCTATTAAGAAATTAGACTCAAATTATTTCAAATATTAAAATTCTAACTGGAACCTGGAAATCCTGCATGCTTGGATTGGAAAGTTGCAAATTAGCAAAATATGTGTCATAAGATATTCAGTAATCCTTTCATAAATTAGCAATAGCAACTCAGTTTATGTTTGATATCATGTCCTATTTTTTTTTTCATAAAAGTTTTGCTCTACTTTTCATTAGTGCAATCATTCTGTAAATAGAATATTATTATGGGGTAGTGGTGTATTTCATATTAAATAATTCTGTACATTCCACACTATGCGGTTCAAATAAGCATGAAGAGTGCAATTAGAGTTTTTAGTGATGGTGCTCTCTTGAAATATTTTTATGAATACTAATCTCGAATGTATCTCACAATTTATTATTGTTGTTAAGCTTTTAAATAAAATAATTTATATTAATTACCATTTTTAATTTAATCCCCGTATAACTGTAAAATATTTAATATCAAGTCTGTGTTCATAGAACCTACTTATTTAGGTATACCTTTTTATAATGCATTTAACAAGTGTCATTTTTTATAGTTACTTTTGTGAAGCCTCAATGTAACCTTGTTGGTGTTCAAATAAATAAACAGAGCATAGCCATATTAGCATAGCTTTGTTGAATGATGGCGCACTGTAGCGCGAATTACTTTGCCGGTCTGGGGTTCAATATCGGTCGGTTAAAATTAGAAAACGTATTCCCGAAGGAATGGGAGTGCTGCAAGTCGGAACACGATCCCGGAAAAAGTCCATTGCTATAAATAGTAATTGCACCACAATGATAAAATTCTATAGGTAATAGAATTCGAGACGGATTGTCTAGCCTGAAATCGCTTTTATGATTATTGTACCTAATGAAGTTTTTATTGCGTGCTATCTGATAGTGATAACAATACACTTCGACATCATTATCCGCCAGCGTGATTCGTGATTCATTAACCCATTAATAATGATCTCAGTTGGGAAATGATGATGTCACAGCGATGGCAAAAGTGGCGTGTCGTTTGGCAGAAATACCGTACGTGCTCACTGCACGCACGCAACGATCCTAGACGCCAAGACGCGGGCAACGCGCGTGCTAGCTACGTGATACGTCTATGACGAGGTTCTGGTTATGCGGTGATAGGGAGAATGCCTTGTACCTAACTACCCTACCTAGATAGGTACCAAATACCTACCTAAACAGCTATCGTTTAACTCAAGCTCCAAGCAAAGAGGAAAGATCGACTTGCATTTTTTTAAATTAATTTTCATGATTGTGCATCTACCTACCAAAAATCTCATTCCAAATTATTAGGAAAAGTTATATAAATTAGATTTTTGTGTGAACCTAAGTTGCACAATGTGGCTAAATGGAAAATGTTATTAATTTCCTTCATTTTTCATTTGCATTTGATTGATTTTATTAATGCTACGTATACTTAGGCGAACTTAATGTTAAATACGACTAAGGCCATTATCTACCGGTTAGTTTCTCCATCTACTACACGTCAAATTTGGGCTAAGCTAATAAAAAAAGAATTTTTTTCGCGTTCCATCTAAATTCCTAAAAAATGATACTTTAGGATCCCTGAACCTTGATTAAACTGTGATGATTCTCCTACAAAGAACAATAGCTATTATGACAATAGGTACAAAACTTCGCGCGAGTGGTAAAATTTTTCATTTCCTGTTTCCGTTTACCATCACAATCTGTGGGTCACTTCTGTAGACGGTCACTCCACGTTATATTCGTGTTTATCTCTTTTTGTTCCTTGTGTATTGATTTTTTTGTCATCCTTGTTTCCAGCTGTAGATGAGCACGCTCGTCGTTCACCACTATTCACCAGCCCAAGCCAGTGGCACATCGATTAATCGATTCGTTTAACAAAATTGTCCATAAACGATTGTGAAATGTGAACACATTTATGATTATAAATAGGTGTTTCTTACTAAAAAAATTTTGAAAAATCCTGTAATAAACAGATAGACATTTTTAAAACAAAACATAAATATCGCCTGCAATCTGATTTTTACTCCGAGTTGGAATCGATTAGTCGTTAAAGATATGAGATATATGAACCCGCATCACTAGTAGCTGTGCTGAAAAAAATAAAACAGTTCGTTTTNTGCTACTTGGGCTTATGACGTCACTTATTCACATAGTAATCTTTTTTTGACGTTTGTTACAGTCAAAGTAAGATGGTACAACCCAAAGTAGTGGATGACCTGTCTTAATGATGATGATGATTAAGCAACTAGAAATAGAATAAAGTGTTTTTCAATCAAAAGTGTTTTGAAATGTCTCAATACAACATTTCCATTGTGATTTCAGAGCTTTAAAAGACCTTTCAAGTCACCTGAGCAGTATATCCAAGGAACCGCAGGAAGACGAGCTCAAGGCAAAGGTTGACGCGCACTGGGCGCATATATCGACTCAAATTAGCAGGCTCAAGGCGTTACGAGTAAGTATAAGAATTGAGAAATAGGAGCGCATAGACCTTCATGATTCTTTAAATGGTCCAGTGCCCAGAAGTTGAGTGGCCTAAGTTCAAAAAGATTCAATCAATCTTAATGATCAATTTGATCGATTTTCTGCATAAACTAAAATGCTCTTACTGCCAGCCTAGAATGCGTGCCGTGATATACTCTGGTCCATGATTTTAGTCGTCACGTCAAAATGTATGTATCTTAATTGCGTAAAATCGGTAAAATGGCGCGATAACCGCTTATCGCGGCGCGCATCCAATTACTCTTATAGGCCTACTGGTTAGGAAAACTAATTTTTAGTGCATTTATAGTGTTTGATATTCTAAAATCTAATTTCTAATCCAGGAAAACCTATCATCCTCACCGCCTACCCTGCCTCAAGAATTGCAGAAGACAGAAAAAGTGGAACGTCCTCAAGCGTTCGACCTCTTTAGCCCCATACCAGTTGTGGAGGAAAAGCAGTCAAAAGTCACCGAGAACATGAAAAATCAGCCCCGAGTGTTGAGTCTGGATTCTGGAAACTTCTCCGTGGCTTCCAAACAGACGGATCTGCTGACGGTGTCTGGGGATGCTTTAAAGCCTGTGGTGGTGCATAATACGTGTGACACTATATCTACTGTGTCTATGAATGATATTACGCATTGGTACAATGGTGAGTTTGTTTTATTTAATACTAGCTTTCCGGCCGCGGCTTCGCCCGCGTGGAATTTTGTCCGTCACAGAAAAACTTTATCGCGTGCGTCCCTGTTTCAATAACCGGGATAAAAACTATCATAATATGTCTTTTCCTGGGACTCAAACCATCTCTATGCCAAATTTCATCGAAATCGTTTCAGTGGTTTAGGCGTGAAAGCAAAACAGACAGACAGACAGAGTTACTTTCGCATTTATAATATTAGTATGGATTTTTAATGTCTAGAGTCTGGTTCACCAAGTCTTCAATTTTGGTAGCCTTGTTTTTCACGTTCGCATATTTTTCCATCAGTCGCCTCTTACGACATCACGAAAAGTATGGGTCCTATCCTTATTTGCCGAAAATGTAACGGCTACTATATCTCACTATGATTTCGTAACCGACTCCACGCAGCAGCAACAAACGTATCGTAACAATACTACCTTCTATGTATTTCTATGAAATACCACCCGTAGTTAGCTACACGTCATCTGAAGGTATTTCATAGAAAACAATGCGTTAAGGCCGGGTAACAGAGAAAATGGCGAAAATGAGGTTTTCATTTTTCATTTTTGAGGTACTAAACAGTAAAATAAAAGGCTAAGATTTTTTTTGGGCATAGTTGAAGATATTTTCTAGGGCTATTAACGGATGGAAACACGATTTGATGAAGTTGACTCGATAGAATACATTCCCAAAGTTACCTCTATTCTTTTTCTANTTCGTATTAACATTTAAAACTTATCATTTATAATGTATTGGGAGAATCATACTAACTAAAGTAAGAAAGAAAAAATTATTGTTTGAAATATAATAATTTATTCATGGATTTTTGGCTTGAATTTTAATTTTAAAAAATATTTATATTTATTATCACTTGGCATTTTTCAAAAACAGAACATAAAACACGAAAATCTACAACAATAACCGGCAGTTTAAAGTTAACTTCAAATGAACATAGTCTCAACACTCAAATGATCGGCAATCTTCGGTCCATGTCGGATCCATTCGGTTTACGATACGAACTCGAGTCAGAGAGAATTCAACTCGAGTGGGTTCGAGTTACGCCCAACTCGAGTTAACTCGAGTTACTTACTCGAGTTGACCATCACTAGTTCGTTTTTGACTCTCGGACAGAGTGTACGCGCTTGTTGGTTGCTAATAAAAATTATTGAAAAATGCCGAAAAAACTAAAAGTTGTCGTCAAATCGCTGTATTCGCACGAAATACGGAAAGATGTGAGCTTGGAAGACCTGAAGTCATTGAGGCTCGAAGACGCTTGGCCATTCATCAGAGACGAAATCGAAATAGAAATTGGTAGCAGTCAGTTTGTGTGTATTCCTCATATTACTGAGGCTGATTTGTATAAAGTTACGTCTCTTTTCGTACCAAATGAGAAGGAAACTAACGGGAAAATGTTCACGCCATTGGGTGAGCTTATCAAGAATGTTAACAAGGAGAAATCGAATGCGGAGTACGTGAATTGGTTGGAAGACGGCGATTTCTGCGATAATGACTTCAAGTTTCCCCATGAAAGCGTAAAGGTTAGTGAATTGTTTTTTTTAACACTTCAAACGCTCAGCCGTACGCCAGAAAACCTAAATTTCGTTCGCCGGTCTGATATTGCTCCATTGACCTTGACATGTCCCTAAGCCCTACGAAATGGTTTTGGGCAGGCACGTTATAAAAACGCAGTAAAGTATTATAACAAAATAAAGGGTTCATACTTAGCAAAATTACTATTTGTATGAACGATGCATTAGTATTATTCATGACATGGAAAATTGAGTTGATAAAAATAATTAATTACTAATAATTACTATCTTAGATTAATAAAGATTACTATTGATTAATATTGTAATTCCAGTACCCCGATCCAGTGCTAGTTTAAGATAAATTATTTGGTATTTATATAAATATTTTTAGTGAAGAAAGGGAGTTAAAGTTTTAAAAATATTTATGGGAATTTCCATTCACAAATTATCAAATGTAAATTATAGTAAAAAATTAAAATGAATGCCATATAATCATCATATAATCATCATCATGAGATTATCTTTACTTATATTTCTTGACCAACATGCCATTGTTTTCATAACTAAGTTCGTTTATGCATAACACATTAGTTTAAAGCAGTTGCAAGGTCAACACAGTATGTAAATAAATTACAAAGGTATGTATTTCTTCTAGACTTGACAAATGGGTAAAATTTTGTTGCATTACTGTGATTTTAAATTTTTATTTTTTTATTTTATTTTNACTCCCCCTACAAGTGTTTTGCATTAATTAATAAATAAATAAATAAATAAATAAACACTTATAAACAGGAATTTTGTTTTCATAGGGGTCAATTAAAATTAGGGATCGATGGTGATTCTTAAAAATTAGACAAGCGAAAATTAAGCGTGCGTGGGTTCGATTCCCAACGTAATACGATTTTTTAGAGTTGGCGCACACCGTTGATTTTTAGTTGGTCGATAGTTGTGCCCGATTTTAAATTGTATGAAGCATCGGCCAAATCGAATTGGCGTAGTGTGCGCACTTCCATACATGCCCATATTGCCCATACTGATCAACTGCCCGACTAAACTATCGGCCGACGAAAAATCAACGGTGTGCGCCTATTCTTAATAAAGTTATTAAAATTCTTAACGCTAAAAAAATTTAATAACTTTATTGGCAAACAGTTCCGGATTAAGACTTTTTGATACCCCAAGTCCAATCCACCCACATCTCATTAAATACAAATAATAAAAAATAGTAAATAGTAAAATAACTGAATTTGTTATTTGTTACAGACAATCACAGCCAACTTCTGGGATGGTACAGCCGTCAGACACTACAAAGCTTGAATTTATTTAGTTTCTAATTAGGTACTTTTTGTTAAAATAAGTCGTCATTCGATTTAAAAAATTAAAATTATATTTTATTATTACAAACGTTGTTTTTTTATTATTAAATTTAAGCATCTTATGTAAGTAATTCGTTTTAGTTAGTATACTTATATTATTAACTTACAAAAAAAATCAATACGATTATCTATCCTGTTAGATAAGCGATAACCTAAAAACCATTATTTTGCAATACCAGCAATCAACAAAATATCATTTTATTTTATTGAGAAAACCAAACAGCGTATTTATACAATTTTACCATACATAAATTTAACATACAATATGGCCAATAACAGGTTTCCCTTAAATTATTACCAATAGTACCACAGATAGTACTAGTAAAGGTTGGAATGCTACCAATACCTATCCACACAAGTTCACACAACACTACCTAAACAATACACTACAAAACAAAGATCATCCCGATAGCCAACTCAATTTCAGTTGAGATACAGAAAAGATATTTTGTAGTTTACATCCTACTATTATTATAAATACGAAAGTTAATTATGTTTACACAAACATCTATTTGAGTACATATTCATTCATGCAAAAACCACTGAACGGATTTTAGCGAAACTTAAAGCATCATTACTTATAATCTACGATCCAGAAGGATCCGTAACAGGCTAAACCACACGCGGCCGAAGCCGTAGGTAGGTAAATAATAGTTCCATGATTCCAGACTCAGCCACAAGCCCCTGCACCTGAATCCAACAACGCACCTACATCTCTTTTAAACTTGCGCTTAGTGTTCGCAAAGATATCGACACCTTCAAAGCGCGCATTATATTCACGAGCCAGCCGCAGCAAAACTGAATTTTGCTGGAAGTTTGTACGATGCCGCATAATTTCCAAAAGTGGGGTTTGACGGGTTCGGTATTTAGGTGTACGAAATGTGATTTTAGATACCAGATATGGACAGTCAATCTTACTATTTATTATGTCGTGCAGAAGACCCATATCCAACAATATACGTCGCTGCTCCAGAGATAAGATTTTATGTTTTATGCAGCCGTCCTCATAATTATCAAAAGTTTTACGGCCACGATATTTTAGATGGTTAACGAAAATTTTTTGTATACGTTCCAGACGGGATTTGTATACAGAATACTGGGGAGACCATATAGGGCTAGCATACTCAAGGACACTTCTCACATACGCGTTATAAACTGTTTTTACAATTGAAATATCCGAAAATGGCTTGCACACACGCATAACAAAGCCTAGATTTTTGTACGCCTTCATAATAGTTTTTTCAACGTGGAGGGAAAGTAGCATTTTGCTGTCCAAATGTACTCCTAAGTCCCTAACATTACTTTTCCTCTCTATTTGTTTGCCGTTGAAATTATAATTTTGTACGATAGGCTTTGGCTTTCGAGTAAATGTTATGCATTCGCATTTGCCTGCATTAACGGTTATATTATTTTTAACATAATACTCATATAGGCGATCCAGATCACTTTGTATAGAAAGGCTGTCTTGTAGGTTATTAATTTTATAAAATATCTTTTTGTCATCCGCATACATGAGATAGTGACAATGCTCAAAGCACATACCTATATCATACAGGTAGGCGTTGTAGAAAAGAGGTGAACGTCAGAATGGCGGGTGTATGATCACAGAAATGAATAAAATAAATATGATTAATTAATACCTGAGGTGTACCTTTAGTTATTTATTTTGTACTTCCATAAGACGGGAACAATTACGATTACAAAATGAGCCGCCAACCTGATATCAGGTTGGCGGGTGTATGCTGAAATTGGACGAAACAGGTAAGTTATGGTATTTAATTACAACTGTCTACAGCATTTTTGCGCACGGGTTATGCATAGCTTATTTTTATTGCTTTATGACCTAGAATTAAGAATAACAACAAAAAATTGTTCTGAATTTGCTTTTATGTGTAAAAAATAGAAAAATTCATATTAATGAATGTATGAAACATGAACATAGAGATGATTCAATTTGTTGCCAAATATATTTTTTTCTTTCTTTCATTCATTCTTTATTTTTATTAAAACATACCAAACATCCATTTAAGATTCATTCTCACAAGAGAAAATTTAAAATAGAGTCCAAATATTTATTAAAAATTTAAAGTTCTAATTTCCTGNTAATTTTATAAAATATCTTTTTGTCATCCGCATACATGAGATAGTGACAATGCTCAAAGCACATACCTATATCATACAGGTAGGCGTTGTAGAAAAGAGGACCCAAAAGGGAGCCCTGTGGAACCCCTGTAGGGACATTAATGTAATTTGAACGAAAACCACTCATCACTACAGCCTGGGAACGATTTGTGAGATATGATTCAGTCCACCGAAGTAAATCCCCATGGATTCCCAAAACCTGAAGTTTATTCAATAGGATCACGTGATCCACCCGATCAAAAGCCTTCTCAAAATCGGTGTAGATCACGTCGACCTGCCCACCCCCATCCATATTCTCCAGTACAAAACTCGTAAACCATGCCAGATTTGTAATGGTTGAGCGGCCCTTTAAGAAACCATGTTGGTTTTCAGGTATTGATTGTGCCAAGGTAGAATAAATTACGTTATAAACAATTTTCTCTAACATCTTTGCAGCAGTATTCAATATAGAAATGCCTCTATAATTGACAATATCCATACGCGACCCCTTCTTATGTACAGGCACTATTAGGGCGGACTTCCACCTATGTGGAAAAGTACCCTCCCGTAAAGAGCGGTTAAATATTATAGTTAACGGAAGAGCAAGCGACTTAGCACATCTCTTCCAAAACACAGCCGGCAACCCATCACTCCCAGCACCTTTATTTATGTCCAGGGATTTTAACATATTTTCTACAATTAACAAGGAAGTTTGTATATTTGATACTGTGTTACATAAAGATGGTTTCTGGGTTGCTGGTGAGTAATTGTCAGAGGGTGTGCCAAATACACTCTGGAAGAATGAGCTGAAGGCATTACATATATTTTTCCCGTCCGTATATTCAACTCCCTCCAGGTAAAACTTTTTGGGGTATGCGGATCCACCACGCAGAGCCTTAACAAAAGTCCAGAATGCTTTGGGGTGTTTTTTAATATTGTTTCCGCAGTGTGCTGTAAAATTCTTAAAACACTCATCTTGTACGCGTCGCTCTCTTGAACGTAATAGAGAAAACTCATCATAATCCAATCTATTTCCATATTTTTTCCAGCGCGAATGAGCTTTTGTTTTTTCTTTTATAATATTTATTAATGCTGGTGAGTACCATTTAGGGTACGACCGACGNACATATTTGCTACGATATCCGTCATTTTAATTTCTTATTAACTATTTATTTTGTGCAGAAGTGGTATAAAAGATAGCATAACGAAGTTGTGTTTTTTAAACATGAAAAGAAGTGATGTATTTACTAAATTGAAAATAAGTTTTAATGGTGATGAATGCGATCAATTTGTTACATTATACTTTAAATTTAGAGTTTTTATGTTTAACGTAATTCGAAATGGCGAATAATAATCTACATATTTATTACCAAAATGTTCGAGGTGTTAGGACTAAATGTTACGATTTGAGACTTAGCATTTTGAATAACGATTACGACGTAATTATTTTGACGGAATCTTGGTTGCACGGTGGTATCTTTGATGGTGAGTTGTGTGACGACAGGTATGATGTTTTTAGGGCCGACCGGGATTTGAATGCCAGTGGTAAGTGTACCGGTGGTGGAGTAGTGATAATGATACGACGCACACTGGGTGCTATGTCTCGTGATCTAAACGTCATAGCCCCGACTGAATTACTGTGGGTTACAGTGCCGTCGCAGTCCATTTCTAAACCTAACTTGCATTTTTGTGCGGTGTACATACCCCCCAATATGCGTCAGATACCCTCCGATTTGAAAACGATTAAAAATACGGTTAAAAACGTAATCGATCTCTGTCCCGAAGATAATCTTGTATTACTGGGTGATTTTAATCTGCCATGCTTATCTTGGAGCCAGAATGGTTACTCAGTTTTAAAAAAAGGGTCGGTTGAGGTTCAAGAGGCTAGTTTGGAACTTAAGAAACCGTTGCGTATTGTGGATTAAAACAATATAACGTTCTAAAAAATTCTCATGGCAACACATTAGATCTTGTGTTTTCCAATCTTCCAATACGTGTTGAATCTGGGTTCACACCACTCTTGAAGGAGGATCGCGCACACCCATCTATTTATTGCTCACTTCTGGACTTAAATATCGCACCTTTGCGAGAGGTTCCCGCAGCAAAGCGAAAATGATATGAATTCATTACACTTGATTGAATTAATGATGTTGCTCAGTTTTGTTTACAGCACTCTCACAAACACTAACTATTAAGTTACTTAGTTGAATGGAGAAAATGTTACAACAAATCGGGTAAAAAATAAGTTAGTTTCACTTTCCCGCCAAGAAGCCTTGCTCAAAAACTAAAAAGTCTTATCGCGGCTAAACGCCATCTATCGAAAACTTAAAGAATTAATCGAAAAACATTTAAAAAAAAACTTTCCTATAACCAGAGCCCCGATTACGGTAACTTTTAACGTCAACAATCCAGACACGCTTCTCGATTCTGCGATACGATTGGTCGTTCAACAGCGTACGTCAGCTGTTTTGACCAATCGTATCGCAGAATCGAGAAGCGTGTCTGCATTGTTGACGTTAAAAGTTACCGTAATCGGGGCTCTGTACTATTACTTATTCTGCGCCCATGGGCCACACACAAGAAATACCTATTAAAATCTTTCAAATAAAATAACTAATTATGAAATAGTGGTAATAACGTACATAAAAAAAAATAAAATAATTGAATAAAATATTGAACGCAAATTAATAAACAACGAAACGCATAACAATGAAGGACTAACAAAACGCGTTGACAATCAATGACATTTCTAGTGATGTTCTGCTTATTTATTACTTGATTAATTCCCGTATATATCGATGTTGTTTTTTTTCCCTATGAATTTGCAAAAAGTGCAATATAATATTAATATGGTAGGATGTGGAAGATCTTTTTTCCAGCAGGGATAAATCTCTAGAAAGTCAGTGAAATTAAATTAAATGGCAAGGGACGAGTTTGGCTACGTTTCCACGATTCGTAACGAGAGCGACACAGTAATAAGTAGTAGGTAACAGTGTTCTTGACAATAACTAAAAACAAATTAATTTTGATAAACTACTTGGTGTGGCGTGTAAATAGCCACACCAGAGCCCCGATTACGGTAATTTTTAACGTCAACAATCCAGACACGCTTCTCGATTCTGCGATACGATTGGTCGTTCAACAGCGTACGTCAGCTGTTTTGACCAATCGTATCGCAGAATCAGAAACGCGTCTGGATTGTAGACGTTATAAAAGTTACCGTAATCGGGGCTCTGGCGGGATCTTAATCGGAAGTCCAAATTACGTTTCCCAAATAATTCTGCCTGCAGAGGAGAAATAGTTGGTCCCACTAACCTCTGAGCCAATCTCGGGTCCCCTTCCGTCAGCTCGACCACTGCTGGCACCGGGACACTCCAGAATGATGATGGATCGGCTTCACTTCCCCTGCAGGGGGTTCGGGTCACGAGCAATTTGAGCTTTGAATGCGTAGGTGGTTTGCGTAGATGCGTTGTGCGTTATGATGCGATTTGCGGGAGATAAAAGTGCGGTTTTTTTTCACTCGTGAGACTGCGAAGATGTGCGTTGCGATAAAGTTCTTACGGTGAAGTGTGTCAAAGCTTGACGTTCAGAAACGCCAAGAATGACCACAGAGATGTGGAAACCAAACAGTTTTCTACCTGCAGACAAAACTATTTGGGAATTTAAAATCAAAATAAAGTTATGCGTGCATCTGCGTAACCACTACTTTATATCAAAGCGAACTGAGAATGAAATTAAATCAATAAATTCTTACCGATTGTTCAACTCACAGAGCAGGTTCCACTGTTTGACTATTGTTTTAAAATGGTTGCACATCACTAGACTTGCTACGTTGTGTGAAATTTCGATTTTGCGTTTTTGTAGGCGACTAATCTGATAAATTAGATTTTCTTAGTTTGTTAATAAGTTTAGAAGAACTAGAAATAAAAATGTCGCGGCAAACATCAAGACTTGATGCTAAGAAAGTGGTATGTAATTTATTGATAATGTACCTATTTTGTTTTTGAGTTTTTCCAAGCAAAGTTTCTAAAGATGTGTTGTTTTCCAGAATTCAGAGCTCTTGACGCTCACTTACGGTGCTTTGGTCTCTCAAATGTTAAAAGAACAAGAAAACTCAGAGGATGTTAACAAGCAATTGGAGAGAATTGGTTATAACATGGGCGTAAGACTGATCGAAGACTTTCTTGCCAGGACTACTTCGACTAGATGTTTGGAAATGAGAGAAACAGCGGACAAAATACAGCAAGCTTTCAGGTAAAAAAGGTTTATACTACTTTGAATAATATAAAGGCCATGTAGCATACCCAGAGAAAAGAAATATCTGGTTTGGTCCTCGTACAATATCCTACATTTGTTTACAAGAACTTAAAATATCTATTTGTAATGGATTGTGTGTTTTCTGTATAAGTGTTTACAAACAATATCCGTTATTCAGTATCCTAGTACAGTCAGAGCAGTGCCGTAACTAGGGCGGTGCCAGCGGTGCCCAGGCACAGGGCGCAGACCCTGGAGGGGCGTAGAAATGACCAGACCAAGCATTATTCAAGGGCGCAGTTTTGAAAGCTCGCACCGGGCGCATAAAAGGCTAGTTACGGCACTGAGTCAGAGTGAAATAATTTGTGACATCCAAAGTGCTCAGAAAGTTGGTACCCTTATTCCAATTGTAACAAAGACGTGTTGCGAACTTTTTGGCTACTTGGGTGTCACAAAGTATTTGATGACGACTGCAAGTTTTTCTTAGATCGAAAATGTTTCTGTGTAAAATGTCCAAAGATATTTGTTATTTATTATTCTATTCACTTTTCAGACTATACCTCAACATGCAGCCAACGGTCACTAGTTGGAGCAGCGCAGGCGATGAGTTCTCCCTCGTCTGGGACCAGTGTCCGCTCAGTGAGTGGGTGGAGATGCCCAACAACGGCCTGAAGTACTGCGCACTGATACCGGGGGCGATACGGGGTGCGCTGCAGATGGTGCAGTTGGACGTTCAGTGCTGGTTTATACAGGTAATTAAAAAAATTTATTTTATTAAATAATATATTTATATTTAACAAACTTGGAATGCTCTCACAGGCAGTAGCGGCGTAAGGGGGGGGCGGTGGGGGCGGTCCGCCCCGGGTGCCAAGCATCAGGGGGTGACACAAGTCGCGCAGATTAGTACTCACTGGCATATCTGCATGGCAAATCTGCGGTCTATGTCTGATTGTCTTTTAATCTTCGAATCGGTAGGTAACCCCAAAATCCTGGGAAGGTACCAGGGGGTGCCATAGGACTTGTGACGGGGGGGTGATCGCCCCGGGTACCAACCCATGCTACGCCGCCACTGCTCACAGGGCCATGTTTCTGGACTCTGTATTATTATTAAAGATTGAAGACAAATCCAAATTGAAGCCGGTTTAGTAGATTTTGTTGGCTAACAAACAATAAAACTCAAAAGTTTAATTGTGGTAATGTAATTAATATCCAGAAAAAGTGTCAACTTCTAGAAACAATTTGAGTTAAGTAATTAAAATTAATTTTAATTTGATTAATACCATTGATCTTGAGATAAAGCTAGACTCTTCTACTTAACCCAGTCCTTCCCTTTTGAATGACAGAAAAAATAGTTTGTAGTTCATAGTTTATTACAAGAAGTGTCGATTGACATGAACATTTTACACTACATATTTTATAATTCTGTCATAACAATTAACACATTTTAAACACAATCTCGATAAATTTAGTATCTAAGTTAATTTATCAAGCTAATAACCATAATTATTAACATTTCCAGGACCAGCTGAAAGGCGATCCGGTCACAGAGCTACGAGTGAAGTACATCAAAAGGTTAGAAGACGCAGTGCCCGCTGGAGAAGATTAATTATTTAAACTGCAATGTATGTTTCCAATTACTATTATTTAATGGTTAAGATCTTGTGGAGTCATGTTTAATACGCTGTGATCTCTATTTCATCTTAGGCTGGTTTTAGAGTCACGCTGACGCACGCTGACCGTCAGCGCTGACAGCCGAAATGTAAAGCGTCGGCGCCGAGCGATCAGCGTCACTCAGGAACGTTCCCTTCAATAGACATGTTGACACCACCAATCAATTGACGTACTTTTTAAAACTGTCAAAACGAAACTCTATCATAGATTTTGTATGGCCACTACAAGCAAGTGACGTCACTATTTTATCAACTCAATTAAACTACTTTTTTCAATTACAATGCGAACAAAAATCGTAATTTACAGGTAATTTAAAATTAATTAGGTTTTTAAGACCAGAATGAAGGGTCTATTTAAAAAAGTTGTGGTTTCAAATTATCTAGGTATGGTGTCAAACTGTCTACTACATACATATTGATCTGTCAGCGCCGACGATCAGCGAGCGGTCAGCGCCATTCTAAAACCCGCCTTATAATTACATACTAGAAATGGCTGTCAAAGGTCTATGTAACCAATCGTCAGATACATTTTACTTGAAGAATTGTTTGCTCCGCTCCAAATAACAGAAAAACTTGTTCGTATATCAGGATTCAAATAATATACACAGGTTTAGTGAAGTGGAGTTAAAGCGCCCCCTAGCGGATTGTTTCGTTACTAACAAAAATCACAAGTAGTCTTGTATAGCTTCAATAGATGGCGTTAAAACCTAAACCTGTCTTAGATAATAATCAAAATTGTAATAATAAAATTATTTGATCCAGAAGTTTGGCGATAGAAGCATCTGCCCTAGGTACCTAATTAGGTACCTATTATTATGGTGTATCGACTTAGATCAAAATAATAATGAAATTGTATAAAAGGGTAAATGAGAGGTGTTGTGAATGATGGCTTCTTGCTGATACAACCACAACCTTATGTACCCACTGTATTTCAAACCTGTTTAAAAACCATGCAACATTATTATGTTTCTAATTTATAAATTACACGGTACATTATCAATTTATTATAATTGTCAGTTTTCCTGGTTGAAACGATTTATTACTGTCAGTTTTATTAATAGTCTGATAGCATGTTTAAGATGTAAAGTGTTTAACTTTAAATAAACTCTATTTATAGAAAAAATACTTGATTTCATTTCGTGCAAAATAACATTACTCATCAACATTAATTGCTAAAAACCTGTTTATGTGATGACTAAGAAATTTTCAGTATTTGTTAATATTTAAATTGTATAAATAAAAATAAACTGGCTTTTTCTCAATCGGTACGCTCTTGTCAGTGGTCGTGGTCATCATTGTGAATCACGATGAGTGATGTTCCTCGCAATACGGCGCCATTCCACGCGATTCCTCTTTCGATAACCGAGCACTTAGTTGCGGCCTTGTTCTGGTCTGTCCACCTCATTGGTAATCTACCACGTGGTCTGGTGCCCTCAACCTTTCCCTGCACTACGAGACGCTCTATGGAGTCATTACTGCGGTGAGATACATGGCCGCAGAAGGTCAAAATGCGTGACTGAACCGTGGTTGATAGGCGCTGTCTGATGCCGAGTTCCTATAATATGGAGTCATTAGTACGAAACTTGGTCCCCGATATTCCCAGCATCCGTCTCCAGCACCACATCCCCAATGCATCAATCTTCCTCCCTTCGGTTTCACGAAGAGTCCATGTCTCCGACGCATAGAGGAAAATGGGGAATACTTATTAGGTAGACTAGCTTGTATGTAGGTACTTATAAACAGTATGTCCGGTCACCAGTGTTCGATCCGTTAGGGCGCAGTAATATAATCAATTTTATCGACAAATCCACTGGAATAAAACATTTTATCCCTACTATTAAAAAATTACATCTATTTTAATTTTTAGTTTCTGAGTCCGGGTGAATTCATTTATTTAGCAAAATCTACCGATGTACAGTCCCCCTAGATAAAACGCACTTTTTGATCGAATCGAAAATCGAATCCGTCAAAATTCCATACAAAAAAGGGGCTTTTCGACCACTTTTCGACTGGTTTGCGATTATAATTTGCACTTTGTCTAGACCCACAGGACCTATAAGTATAAAAGTGAGTTTGTTCGACAGCTAAAAAAGTAAGCAATAAGTTGACATAAAAAAGTTTAAATGTCTTAGAAACACTTGAAACGTAAAAATAAAGTAAAAAATAATGCTTCTTTTTAAATTTTTTAATGTTACAAAAAAACTAGACCGTGAACTTATCTTATTTTTCCATTTTTTAGATGCTACAGTGAGACGGACAAAAGCTAGTAACGTAAAGAAAACCAGAACTTGTGTTTGAGTGTCACAATCTCAAAGCCCTTAACGTTGCAATAAGTACCCGGGATCTGGTTCCAACACTTCCAAAGTAATCCTGCTGTACCCTAATCCTCATGTCTGCATGTCTCACTCCAGATTTTTCCACCAACAATGGTACACATATCGGGCACTCAGCGCCAGCGGCCCTTGTAGGCTAATTGGGACCCTCAATAGATAGACAACAATGCGCAATCGACAATCGATGAGGATTAATCTATAGACTAGAGGGATGACATATTTTATGTACATAACGGTGTAATGGGTGGCCATGATGAAAATCAAGGCAGGACTCAGATTTTTTTAGAAAACTATTAGTAGTTTTAGTTTTGTCTACCCGTTACAGAATGTTATCTGTAAGTACGAGTACATTGCGCATTTCCTATAAGTAGGTATTATAATACACTCGACAGCAAATAAATCGCACCACCCGCGACAAGCATTTTCAAACGTTAGCATCCCTACTTCCCACCAATATTGGCACCATTTAAAAGCCTAGTTCTAAACTTCATTTTATTAAAGGAAAGGTTTTTACTCCAAAAATGTGTCTTTACAAGGATCCAGAGTCACTTCTTAAAAAAATAGGTAGTTACGCTATAGCCATTTTTTATGACTATAAAACTGTTAAGTTGGGATTAATCGCTATCCATCTGTTAAAGAGGACACGTGTGATCATTATTTGGTTTTATAACCATAAAATTTGGTCTAATTGATCCCAGAGGTGAGCCCAAAGTGAGGTATTTTTTCAAGTCACATTTATGGTATTATGTTAATCATTTATTAAGAAATTAAATGTGTTTTTCTTTAAGGATATTTATTGGGCTTTTAAATAACACCAATATTGTTGGGGCACCATTATTGTGTCAAAAGAAAATCTTTAAAGTTCGCGTCGCGGGTGGTGCGATTTATTTGCTGTCGAGTGTAGATAACTCGAATCACCAAAAGCAAATACATACATATTATGAATTTTATTCTAATTTCTACAAAGAACTTTGAGAATAATTTTAAAACCATTCTCAAAGTAAGTTTTTTTTATTTAAATATTTTTCAAATTAGCGAGACCAAGGCTACTGAAAATAATCCGATTCCGAACATAAATATAAATTAAGTTCGTGAGTTTAGAATACAATAATAACTAACATACAAAGAGAATTAATGTTTTTTTTATATCAAAGGCATTATTGAATGTCCAGACTCGGAGTTATCCAAAAGTTTGGAGTCACAAGTCCCGCGTATGTGGCAGCTATTGTAGATTTTTTGTTTATTTATTAAAGTTTGAAGATCCTGAAACTGAAAATTGAAATGGATATCATTTCAATCCATTTCAATTTTCAGTTTCCACTTGTCAATCTCAGTGTATTCAAAGGTCGTCATCGTCATATTTCAAATGCACTTCATTTTTACCACGAATATAAGTAGGTATTCAACCGATCAGTCCACTGTTGTATTAATTTTATAACTGTTATTATTTTGTCAAATAAAGGTGAACTTAATGTTACTTGCATTCTCCACTAGTCAATCTTCGGTGAGATTAAGCAACAATAGAGTGCATCTCACTTATCATTGTGATTACCTGCATTGTGCTGCATTAAAAAAAGATTTTCAGTACCTAATTTAGATACAGAAATACTTAGGCAGGGTTGCACTATCTTATTAACTTTAACAAACGTCAAAAGTAATACAAAAAACTCAGGTTATGGCTATAGTCACTGTTAAAATAAAGTGGTGCAACTTAGCTCTGTTGTGTGTGTCATTTGTACAAACTTGTAAGAATCACCTTTAGTGCTTTCGCTTTAGGTAGGTACCTATTGTAGTACCGACTGTACATTACATTTACATATAAAAATATGCACGTACACAAACTCAGATGGATTGCAGCCACTGCGAATTCACAATGGGTTCGTTAGCCAAAGAACCCTCCTTTGGAGGGTGTCACTCCACTCTGAGGCTGCACTATCCTCGTCAATGAAGCAACGAAACAACGTTCACCTTTATCACCAGGCAATAAGATATGAAACAGAACAGTTCTTGATTTACAAAGTTTTTGAGTCATTACTATTTTCACTTTGTAAAAGTCAAAGTAGACCCATCCTTTGAGTGATGCTGTCGCTCTTAAATATTAGTGAAAATGAAGGATGTTGCAAAGTAACCTAACCTACCTATCTTAGGTTCTTACCTAATTTGTTAGGTTCCATAATAAGAAGTTTGGACTTAATACTAAATACTATTCGCTGAAATAAAATTGGATGACAGCTACCAATAGCTGAATTTTAAGAATGTTATATTAAAATAGTGCAACTCTTGTTAAAATTAACAATTGAGTTTTTAGTTCACTTGATTACTTATTGCAAATACCTAACTTAGTTAAAGAATCTTCGTCTTCTAACTTTTAATTTAGCGACCTAAGGTTTATAATCGAATTATCACTGGTAATCGATTTATATTAATACTTTACTTTACTCGATCTATTTGTGGAAATAAGTACCGTAGCATTGAACAATAATTGGTGCAACATCCGTTACTAACAGAATGCTTCGAAGTAGGTAAAAAATAAACAAGGAAAAGGTAAAAATATTTTATACACAATTAATAAAATTTACTTACGTCGTTAATACTTAGAACAATCAAACTCATTCACAAACTTATTCCACTGGGTGTTGAACTTATTAAATGCTGCAATTTTTGATGTTTCATTAAGGGCACTGTACTTCAATGAATTCATAGCTAATGTCTTCAGCATCCTAATGTCTGAATGTTTACTTGACACAGCCACGAAGGCCAAATAAAAGTCATCTGTAATCACATCAGCCTCCCAAATACCAGGATCATCACTGGAAAGCATCACAGGCAGGTCCAAGGCCAAAAACAGACTCAGAGGATGGTTACGGACGTCACGCACCAGAGACAAA